TGCTTATACAGAAATGAGCTTCGCCGTCCCTTGTTACATAGCACTATTATTGCAGCAAATATCCTTCGTGTACACACCAAGGTACAAGTGAAATTTCAGACACTAGAATAGAGAAGATCCTGCAATGGTCAAAGGGAAAGGAAAAACTCTTTTTAAAGCATTTGACACGTCTTCAAACTTCTCAACAGGTACAGCTGGAAATAAAAAGGCAGCAGCAAGTGGGGCGTGGTGGTTCCCACCTATAAACCCCACTCTCGAGGGAAGCTGAGGCAGGACGCTGAAGCCTGCCTGAGCTACACAGCAAGTTCCAGGACAGCCTGTCTCAAAGAGGGGAAGAAAATAGCAATATCTTCAAGCTTCTGAAAGGGAAGAATAAGATACTTGAGCACATGCAAAATCCCCAAAACTTGCCCCATGCCCTTTCTCAGAGACCAGTGATGGTGATCCTTTTAGAGACAAGTGCCCAAACTACAAACCAAAACCCACTGTTTATCATGAAGTACCAGCATCTTTTGTGTTAAAAACAAAAACAAACTGTCATAGACTCAGGAAATCATGTCCCTTCAAAAGAACTCCTGCAGATGGCGGTGAAGTGTGAGCCAGGCACGGGAGACAGCAAGTTCACAGCAGTCAACATCTCAAGCAGGCTGAAGACAAATGAAGTCGACCAACTGTGATACATCTGACAGTTTCATAGGATTTGTGTTTGGTTTTTGTGTTTTGGTTTGGTTTGGTTTGGTTTTTTTAGACAACCTCTCACTATGCCATACAAGCCGGCCTTGAACTCACTTGATAGCCTCAAACTCCCAGGAATCCTCCTGCCTCAGCTTCTTGAGTGCCAACATGCCTGGCAGGTTTGATAGATTTTTGAATAAATGGAAGTACTAGGAATTGAATTATTGATAAATATAAAGAAAACTATGCAAATGAAAAATAAGACAACTAATTTTAGCAATAATAAAAACATGTTCAGCAAAGGAAAAGTGACCACAGTTTAATACCTTATTCAGGTCAGAATAGTAGTGTGAAATGTGAACAGTGACCCAACCATAATTCAAAAGAAGTATGCTGGAGGCAATTGTCCACAGCTCTCTCGCATTTTCTGCATATGAGGCACTGACTGGCCTTTTTAAGCAGCTGTAATGTTTGTTACATAATGTGTCAACTTCAGGTCAAAGTTTAAGGGACAGAGCAAAGAACCAGGGTCCTTTGCAAACACCCTCATCCTGTGCCAGGGCGCCCGGGGAGGAGATGTGAGTGCTACACCTGCCCAAGGGCCATAGCCTGATTACAGTGTAAGGGAGGGAAAGGGGCTTGCTCTCCCCACCTTTTTGCTCTTGTTCCTTTGCTGTCTTCTGCCACCTGAAGTGTTGCCCCAGTTTGAAGCCTTGGAGCCAGCTGATTATGGACTGAAACCTCCTTCATTTTGTCTCAGCAGTGAGGAAAAGTAACCAAGACAGCAACCTTGCATGGTGCACAGCTTTAAAAGACACACACTGCCCTTGGGAGTGCATGGCAGGGCACTGATATCCTGTATAATGAAAATAATGTCTTTTAGGAGCACAGCCTTGCTACCTACTCGTCTGGGTTCATCTCCCATAGTATACTCCACAGCATGTGCAGTTGTCATCTAGCTACCCTTTGTCACACTGTGGGAACTGTCACAGGAGCTGGTACACTGGCTACTGCCACTGTTAGGTGTAATGAACACTTATTGCTTTCTGACCTGAGTCTTAGGCTTCTGCTAGCAGCCCTGAAACTGGTATGCTAACTTGGTTTTGACAAACTGCATTTGAAAAGGTGAAGAAATGAAAAAGATAGATGTGAGCAGTGAATGTAACAACAAAAAAGTAACTGCATCTTTTGTTTTGGAAATGGGAAATAAACATAATTCCTGAAACAGAAAAAGCAAGAAAAAAATTCAAACATAGGTAAAACCTCAAAGGTTTTAAAAAGAACCCAAAATAATGAAAGTAGTGGCCTCGTGTGAAGTAAACCAATGCAAAATATTTTACAAAAGGGATATTATACAGCTGTATTATACTTACCTGTAGAAGGATCTGGCTTCTGTGTATAAAAAGAAATTTGTATGTACTTCTATACAAAGAGTGTCTGTCTCTTCACAGCATTTCCTAATCTCACAAAAGGGAGTTAGATGTCCTGTCCTACTTCTGTACAATATCGACAGTAAAATGACCAAAATTTATCACTATTATCATGAGTTATTCACTAGGACAGGGAGCACCATTGAACCTATTTTGGACAAACAGCCTTATGAGGTATTATCTCAGTTTTATAAGGGGGGGAATAATTTTAATTACTTCTCATTCTGCAATTAGAAAGTGTCAAAACCTGCCAGCAAGCGTGAAGTCCTGAGTTCAATTCCCCATACCAAAACAAAAACAAAAATAAAGTATCAAATCCAGAATTGAAGCCCAATCAGACTGGCTCCAGAATTGCAAACAGGCACAACAATCAAGAACTTCCTCTGCTAGTAAGGGCTATCGCGGGTGGTGTCAGCTGCTTTCAGACAACAAACTTGTAACCCATGGAAAGGAGTTAAATGGATCAAGGGACTGACATTCCTCCCGGCTCCTTACTCACTCTTCAAGTTGTCTGCTACATTTCTAAGCATTGGCCTTTTTAAATGATACTCCAAGATAGCAAGAGACTTGGCCCTCAGAACCTCTAGGACAATATAACCTCATCCTGCTAAAGAAAATGCAAACACAATGTAATACAACATGCCTATCACACTGATAGCACCAACTGCTGACAAGATATGGAACAACAGAAACTCCACTGACTGCTAGGGGGAATGCAAAAAGGTAGATGCTTTGGAAGACAGTTGGGCAATTTCTTTCAAAACAAAGCATACTCAGAATAAATTCAGCAATTTTATTCCTTGGTTTACCCAGATGAGTTGAAAACATGCCCACACAATAATGTGCACACAGTTATTTACTACAGCTTTATCCATAACTCCAAAACAAATCAAGATGTCCTTCAAGAGAAAAGGGGATTAACTATAATGCATCCTTACAATGAAATTGTATCTAGTACCAAAAAAAAAAAAAAAAAAAAAAAAAAAAAAAGGGAGCCAGGCATGGTAGTACATATCTGTAATCTCAGCACTCAGGAGGCTGAGGCAGGAGGGTTACCATGAGTCTGAAGTCAGCCGGGGCTGCCCAGTGAGTTCAAGATCAGCCTCAACTACCTAGCAAGATCCTATTTTTTAAAAAAAAGGTCAGACATGGTGATGCACACCTGCAATCCGAGCACTCAGGAGGCTGAGCCAGGAGGACTGCCAAGATAGACTACACAGTGAGACTTTGTCTCAAAAGACAAACCAATTGAGCAACTACTTTAAAGATAGAAATATGTAATTATTAACCATTGACATTCTCGTATTAGCTTGTTTTTGAAATTCTTTTCATCTTTAAAATAAAAAAAAAACAGAAACAAAGAGACTCTTGTGCCATGAAAAACATGAAGAAGCTTACATACCTGAGTGAAAGCTGCCAGCCTGAAAAGGCTACCTAGTGTATGACTGCAAACAGTAGAGGTGACATTCTAGAACTTGTGAGAAGGAAAGCCATGGCTGCCAGGTGTTTAGCAGAGAAGGACACTCAGGGCTTTGATAAAAGATGTTTGGGGCAATGAAACTGCTGTGTAATGTTGCATGGAGAAATGGTATGGTGTTACTACTTGTTACTGTTAGTGTGTTGATTATGTACCAATGATGAAATAATAGGGATTCATATAAACTGATCTTGACTCTAAAAGCCATGCTATTGCATATAATTTAATAAAAGTCAGAAGTAGGGTGAAATTTAACTCTGTTATTTGGTTAAGAATATTAGTTATCCAGTCAGAGTCTTAGCTTTAACTCTTATGCCAAATAAATAGGTTACCACAGCCTCTGAGTGATCCTTCAAACATTCAGTTTGAATACGTAACATTGGTCTTAGGTGCACTTGGTGAGTTTTCTGTTTTAATGCATAGATAATTTGGAGAGTCTACAGATACTGGTAAAAGTGATATTAGGTATTCGTAACATGTGAGATGCCACATGTATTGGAAATCCAAGTGCAGTGGCTTGAGTGAACAAATGTTTTTCTCATGTGCAAGAAGTTTGGGGCTGGTGAGGTCCTTCACAGTGTAAGCCTTAGGAACTTAGGCTCCTCTTGTTTTCTGTCTGACCACACTTAGTGTTGTGCAGCTTTCCTCCTGCTGCCTGCAGGGTGGCTGCTGTACATCTGTGTCCGCTGTACAGGAATGTGTTTTTCTGTCTGATGAGATCAAGAAGCCTTCAGCTTTCTTGAGAATCTCACTTAGGAGACTCCTCCTCACATCTCAGAGTAGAAATGGGCTCATCTTTGTCTGTAAAAACAGTTAAAAGGCTGGGCACGGTGGCATCCACAGTCTCGGCACTCGGGGAAACCAGTGCAGGAGAATCACAGGTTCAAGCCCGGTCTGGAGAATTTAGTGACTTAGTAAGACCCTGCCTCAAAACGGACAATAAAAAATCATTTCACCTTATATTTTTGCTTGTTCGTTTTGTGTTTTGAGATAGGGTCTCACTGTGTGTTCTACACTGATCTCGAAGCTGCCCTGATCTTTCTGCCTCAGCCTGAGTGCTGCTGGGTGACAGGTGTGCACCACCACACGCGACTCTACAGGAAGAATTTTGTAACGCAGTCTTGCCCATCTCTGGTTGGGAAAGCTGTGTCTCTTGGCCATGAATGCTCCAGAGCTTTTCTCTGTTCATTTTTTCCCTTCTGCTTTTCCTAATCGTACCAGATTTTATTAACTGGAAAAGGGTGGCTCCTTTGCCTATTTAAAAACAGAGTAGGCATGCTCGCTAGTAGACCACTTGCCTGCAGGCCCTGGATTTGGCTGCTAGCAGCACCACACACACACACACACACACACACACTCCTAATTGAAAAAACCTTTCTACTTCTATGAGCCCAATATATGTAAAAATGTAAAATAGCTACTTTTTAAAAAAAATTTTATTTAAAAGGAAAAAGAGAAAAAACAAAACAAAGCGGTGTAAGGGTACAAGTAATACAGAACTACAAAAAAAAAAAGTAACAAAATCACCAGTTAATAGATTACACATTATCATTTTAGAGATAGTTGCTCAAGTCACAGTATCAAAGCATACAAAGTGAACATTCAAACAGAGAGACTGCAAACAGTTGTGTTCAATGATCCAACCAAAAACATTAATATGGTCAGCTATTTAACACCCCTAAACACACTTGCAGTTGTATCCTTTAGAGAACTTTTTTTCCCTCTCCCTTATTCATTACAATAAAATTTACACATTTTGGGTTTTATTACTCCTTAGTTCTTATTACTTTTTTTTTTGGAAGAGAATACAGTAAAATATGGCAAAACAAAGCTGTCAGTCAAAACCAAGGATAGACATAGCACATGATGTAAAAACAGAGTACAAGGTTATCAACAATGGTTACCATAATGTCTTTTGTTTCCTTAAAAAGAATTGTCTATCTCATTAGGTATTATAAAGTTGAACAAAACAGTAGAGAACAAGACCAATAAAACTTAAACATTGTAAACATTACAGGACTTCTAAAGGAGATAATAGTCAAACCAGAGTGGGCATCTTAGTGAATCTTTTTGCCTTCAAAGTAGTTGCCTATACTCTCAAACTTGATACTATCATACAGAATGGAACAGAGTCTAATCAGTCAAAACAAGATAGTGGGAGTATTACAGGACTTCAAAACAAGTTAATAGGAAATCAAAAAAAGTTACTATAAATATATCCTACTAATTTTTTTGATTTTTCCCCTTAATTAAAAAAACCATAAAAAATAACTAAATAATTTTTTAATGAATAAGGGAGAGATTGAGATAAAAGAGGACATAACAACATAACAATACAGGTCAAAGCATGACTGTTTCAGCAATCTAGTGCTTCACCACCAAATAACCCGACTTAATAGTAGTCACCATAGTGTCTGAAATATTTTTTCCTTGAAATATTTGAATATAACTTTATTTACTATAGCTTCAAATATTTCCATATCAAGAAGCCCAGAATAAAGCCTTTCTAATTAATAAGTGAAAACTTTATAAGGCTTCAAGGCCACATAATGGGGAATCATGATTACCACATACTTTTATATATTTGAATCATTACTTACATTAGGGAAACTATTCGGTATTCACACATGCGAGATTGATTTATTTCACTTATGAGTATGGTCTCAAGCTGCGTAAAATAGCTAGTTTTGTAGGTCAAATCAGATCGGAGTGGTCACTGTTACTTTTAAATTCTGCTCAGCACCCTTCCTTGGTTCTGCCACCAGTGCCCTCCCCAGTTCCTTCCCGTTTTCCTTCGGGGAACTTTTCCTTCTCCAGAGGTGATTCTGGAACTCCCAGCTGTGTCCATTCCTTCCCACTGAGGCCACACAGCGAGCATGTGACTCGATGCAGCCAGGCTTGCTTCTCCTGAGCACAGTGATGACGCCGCGGGTGGGCACAGGTCCATGGGTGAGGCAGGCAGAGTTAGCCCGAGTTTATTTAGGGAGGCAGGGGACCGCAGATTTTCGGGCGCCGCTTTTCTCTTTTCGGTGTACTACTCAGTATAGCCTACTTTTTAGGGCTCTTCTCGGGTCACAGCTAAATTGGATAGAACACACGTAGAGCTCCCAGTGCCCCACCCTCCCGCCATACAACCTGTCCAACTCTCTCCCGGGTGACTTCAGAGTTGGACTCTACGTGTCCTACAAAACTAGCTATTTTACGCAGCTTGAGACCATACTCATAAGTGAAATAAATCAATCTCGCATGTGTGAATACCGAATAGTTTTAATGTTGTCTAAAAAGCTAAAAAAAAAAGATAATTGACTGGTAATAAACAGAAACAAAAAAACAGAAAAACAAATGTGTTCAGAATTTGACAGTATTAGATCAGTAAACCTTTACTGCAAAATGTTTCCATTAAAATGAGATTATATTCTAAAAAGGGGAGGACAAACTGGAGCCCTTTGTCATCCCAAGTTTATATAATGGTAAAAAGTCAGTGTTGACCATATATAAAATATATTTGCCTATAAAAATAAAAATTAAAAAGGGCTGTAATTCTCAGTCCCATCTGGACTAGAAGCCATCAGCGTTCAGAATTGCTGGACTCCTCTTCCTCACCCACCTTTTTTCTAAGGACCCTCGGGGCCTTATTAGTTGAGATTGATTATTCAAGTATCAGAAATATTAGTCCTCAAAATGTTACCACTGTGTAATGCAAAAATTATACAAGTATATATGTACACAAACCGAACTACTGGACAACAGAAAAGAAATGTAATTAAGATTTTCTTGTGCGCTCCAAATCCATTTCATTCTGAGATCATCCAGGCCCAGCAGTCTTCTTGAGCAAAACATCATTTTCTTCAGTTCAGTTTTCTTAAAAAAAGTAAAACCCAATTCTGAGTATAAATACAATTTGAATATGCAACACATTCATACCAGAGAATTCTCTGGATGATTCATAATACCATTCAAATTGTTCCTTGTGGAATTATTTTACCTGCCCAGTAGGAAACAGGTAATTACAGGTGCTGAAATTATTGAACAGTGTTTAATTTAATGTTGGGGATTGAACCCAGAGTCTTACAGTTCTACTGATGAGGTAAAACCTCCAGCGCTCCAGCAGTAGGGTTTATTATTTTGTTTTGTTTGTTGTATTTGTAGTACTAGGGATACTGAACCCAAGGCTTCTATACTAACCTATGGCCCCAGCCCTTTTTTAATTTTTTATTCTGAGACACAGTCTTACTAAATTTCCTAGATCAGGCTCAAACTTGTGATTTCTCCTGCCTCAGTCTCCTAAGGTACTGGATTACAGATATGCACCATCACATACAGATTGTTTTTAATAAATAATTTAAATCTGTATTCCTCTTTTGTATCTTCTAAACTCTCATCAATTTCTAACTGGTTACTATAGAACTAAGATTTGGAGGGAATTAACATACAGTGTTATCAAAACAAAAAAGTTGTGAAATAAAAAAATCTTAATTTACTTATTTGTTTAATCAACACATATCATATAGCTAATATTTTCCAGACATTGTGCAAGGCACCAAGGATTCAAAGATAAATAAAGCAGCCTCTTAACCCTCAAAAGACTTGGTTTAATTACAGGGAAGGTGGTGATAAATAACCAAAAAGCTGAGTATACATATTATGAAGGTTTTAATGACAGCACAGTGAATGAGCTACCAGAAAAGGGAGGCTCATTAGCATAAACACAGCAATCACAAAGGATCTGATTTCTGTGAACTCTTTGTTCCTCTGCTGTAAAATCTCTAAACCTTACCCAGCACCAAGATGCCAAAATTGAAATGCGCTCATTAAAGATTCATCCCTCTGTGCAAAATATTCTTATGCAACCCCTTTTGGAGGAGTGGTATTTTAAGTAATCTGATCATTCTTTATGCAAGGCAGAAATCCACTTATGTACACCTGCTTGGCATGAATGCCCCTTGAAATAATGAGATCACTTTTCACCTAACAGGAGGAGATAGATCCCCACAGCAGAAAAAACACAGGCTCTGGAGGTTGGGGGAGGGGGGTACTAGGATTGAACTCAGAACCTCATGCTTGCCAGGCAGGCCCAGGGCTGCTGAGTTATATCCCTGCCCACAGGCCCTGGAGGCCTGAAATGGTTAACGAAGATGAAGACAGATGGCAATGGTTCTAAAGACAGAGCACCTGAGTGAGGTCCTAGCAGAAATCCCAGCTGCTGAACAGAGTGCTGAGAGGCTGATAAGGGAGTGTAGTTTGTTTATACAAGGCTCTTGCAGATTTCATTACAATCTTTTAATGTAACAAAATAACTATGAATCATTACCTTCAGAATTTTAGGATTTTTTCAGGCTCTGAATGAGACCTTTCTCTAGGGGTGGGGTGTGTGTGTGTGTGTGTGTGTGTGTGTGTGTGTGTGTGTGTGTAAACACGTAGTTAACTTGCAAAATGGAGAGAGAGTGTCATCTGGGAAGAAAAGTGACAGAAAACAACAGAAAAAGGAATAGGAACTAATTCTACCGCTGCCCCCAGCCAGAACTCTCTATGCTGGCTGTGCGCTGAGATTCTTTTCTTTCCTCAGGACCTTTGACCAGTTTTTTGTATCAGAATTTCCTGCCCTACAGGCAAAAGAAAATTTCCTCCACCCCCGACCCCCACTCCTCACTCCCGTCAGTTTTTATTTATTATCCCTGGGCTGTGATAGGTTTTTTGGCCCAGCTAGTGAGACAGAAAAATATAAAGTAAAAGTGGCTTTTATTTTAAGGATGCGGAGAGAAACTCTGACTGCTGGGATATGGCTTTCTCTGTCAGACACATGGTGTGGGGCATACATATAGCTTTGGTCTGGGGTGGTACCTCCAGGGGCATTGCTGATGCCGGCAGCTGATTGGAACTCTTTTCGAGCCACATATAAATTGCCTAGGGGTGGGGAAAATGACCTCATTCATTGGTCATTGGTCCCCCCTCTCACTGATGTAGTGTCCTGCCTAGGGCAAAATCCTTTCAGGCTGGAAGCTCAGGGTCCCCAAGAGAGTTACATTATAGTGAAGTATGAATCTGAGCAGGCTCAGAAAGAAACAGCGTTAGAAACATTGTCCTCAAAGTAATAATTTAAAAGAGCAAAGCAAGGAGGCCCACACCTGGGCCCTCAGCACTGTGGGGGGATAAGGCCGGAGTGTCGCTGCGTGAGACCTGTGCCCGTGGGAAGTGGCACGGAGTCACAACGTAAATAAATCACACCGTAGACCAGGTTGATGGCATTTACCCAACTTTAAATATGTCTCCTACCCTCTTATATAGGTAGGGCTGAGACCCAGATAGGGGCAGAGCCTAGATGACCCAGGAAGTTTGAGGGCAGCTCTTGGCGATGGGGCCTGAGCAGGGCAGTGTCTGGCAGGGCGATTCACTCGGTCTGCCGAGGACATTCCAGGGTCCGAGTCAGCTCAGACCCTCTCCTCTGCCAGAGCCCTTAACCAAACCTCCAGACCTTTCCTCACCATACAGGAGGATCACAAGATCCTGCCCAGCCTGTTGTTTTGTTTGAGGAGCAGACCTAGCATGCTATAAGTAGCTACACTACACCCTAAAGTCTAGTTTTGACTTTTTTGGGGGGAGAGGGTCCCCACAATCAAACTCAGGACCTTGTGCTTGCCAGGAAGGCCTTGTGGTGCTGAGCTACACCCACAGCAGAGCCTGTTTTTGAGTACAAATTCTACAAATGACTGTATCACATACAATGTTTTTCTGACCCTACTTGCGGGATTGAGTAGTGTAAGAAACCTTTATATTTATTGTTCTATGCTAGAAAAAAAATCAAACAGCAAATCCCAATCAGAGTTTCTTTTAATTCCCTTCCACTAGTTTCCTTTCTCTTAATTCCAAACTGCTCTCTAGGCTTTATTTCCTTACTTTCACATTAAAGATTGTGCCAGATTAAAATACACCCTCCAGGCTAACATTTAGTTTCTTACCAAACAAGGCCCCACCCCCAAATCAGTTCATCTGCCACATACATAATCAAACAGTGTGTTACAACACTATTCCTCATTAACACCTCGCTGGACAGTATTAAATAAACTGCCATGTGGAACACACAAACATTTAACATACAGTGAAAGTTCAATAGGCTTAGTAACACTGTAGGAAATTAAAGTCTGTGAACTGCAAGGGACACTTAAAGGGCAAACAACTTTATTTAACAAGAAATGTTAAAAGTAATAATTTTATTTTTTAATTTTTTTATTTTAAAGAGAATAAAACAAAGGAGAACAGAACTAAGCAAATCAGAACAGAACAATGTAAGCAACACAGAGCACTTCACAAGAAGACAACCGGACATCAGCTGTAGCTATCATAATGTCTCTTTTCTTTAAAATAGTTGAACATACCTTCATACACAACAATATCAAACATAACAATATAGTATAAAACCATTCAAAAGAATGAAAGCATTACAGGACTTCAAGACTAAATAACAGGAAATGAACAATGGCTACTATAATATCTCATTTTCCTCAAAAAATTTGTACCAGCACACATAATAAAAATCAAATATATCACAATAGGATAGAATCAATCAAAAGAGAAGAACAAAAGCATGATAGGACTTCAAAACAAGATGATAGCAAATCAGCAATGGCTACCACAATGTCTTCTTTTCTTCAAAATATCTATTCATACTGTCACACATAAGAAAATCAAACAAAACAGAATAAAACCAATCAAATGAATGAAAGCATTATAAGACTTCAAAGCAATATAATAGGAAATCGAGACTTCTGGGAGAACATGGCGGATAGATAGCAGCAGCTATGGAGGCTCTCTGAGATACCCCGCGTAAAATCCAGGAATGGTGCAGTACCAGGAGTCCTAAGCAAGGGGAGATATACCTTGCCGACCCAGGAATGAACTAAGCTAAGAGAAACCAACTGGAAATCCAATCCTGGTGCTACAACAGGAACAGATAAAATCTCAGCACGGGAAGCGAGAACCTGTGCCACTGGAAGCCGCGATTTGAATTTCCTGCTGCCGCTGCTGCGTCCAAATCTGCAGGGCAGGGAGAGAGACACGCGAAAGCTCTGAGAGCGGGAATCTGCAAACAGAGTTGAGAGCAGGACTAGCAGGGAGCCCTATATTGACTTGCGGTGAGTGAGCGGAATGGGGACTCTTTCACAGAGTAGGAGGCTCCAGCAAAGGACATACTGGGACTGGGCAGACTTGCTGGAACAGGACGCTGCAGTGACATTAGGCGCGTATTTCCCTCTCAAGCGGGATTGGTAGGCAGTGCCTGTCCTGCGTGATGCCGCTGACTAAGACCCAGTAGGCTAGCCCAAACCAGGTCCCAGCGCCTGGAGGTGCACCCTAGTGGTGAAGCCTTTGGTAGGTTGAGCTGGAGGGGCGGGCCCAGCAGAGGCTGCCAAGGTCTGTGTCTCCCCAGTACACTGCAGTGGGGGGGAACACCTAGTGGGCACAATTCAAACAAACTCTAACCGACAAAGAGAAAAAAATTGGGCCTCCTACATTCACTTGTACAAAAGGAACAAAAAATATGGGAAGAGGAAGCAACAAGAAAGGGTCCTTGGTCCGCAATCCTGAGGACACTGATCCAGGAAAGGGAAATGCAAAGGAAGACAGAAAACATGCAATATCAGACACAGCACCAATAGACATAAAGTGATATCTCCAGAGCCTCATAGACGAGTGTAAAAATGAAGTATTTAATGAAATAAAGCAAGATATAAGTACAATAGTTAGAGAAATGCTAAGCACTGCCCAAGAAAAAACAGATGGTGGAATGGAAGAACAGAAAAAAATGGGGAGAATTATTTGATGGAGAAAATAGAGAAAACATAAGATATGTGAAGCAGGTTCAAAGA